AAATTGATTCCTTTTGTGCAAAAGTGAGTTCCCTTATTATCACAACAAATCATCTTTAATGAAGAGCCTCCTTTGCCGTTTGCAGTCAGACTGGACTGTTGCATTCAGGATGGGGGTGGCAGTAAACTCCACACTGCATGGCCCTGAGCTGCAGGGAGCCTCTTCCAGCTCCAGGACAGTCACATTGTTGGGTGCAGCTGTGCTGAGGATGTTGGCAGGGACAAAAAGTGTCACCTGAGGCCCTCGGGCTGGCCAGTAACGTCCCAAGTTGAAGCCGTTAATCCAAACTTGTCCCTGAAAAGAAAATGACAGAACTGAGTAATTCGTCGACAGTATTAGCATTGCGATCATTTGATTGAGCCCATGCTAGAGAATATCTTGACAAGATACACTCAAACAGCATGAATTTTATTAGTTCTGCCACATTTTAACTTTTGACTTAAACGATGAATCCATTATCAAAATTGTTGGCGATTATTTTTTTTTCAGTTGTCTTATCAACAAATAATTAAAAAAAAAATTTTGAGCGCATATGACCCTGGAGTCATTAAAAATGTTACTACGAACAATCAGGGTTATTTAAGATGCTCAATTGACATTGTTCTTATTTTATCTTTTTAAAGGGCAAAGTGGCTTCAATTCTAACTAAATCAAAAAACGCTTGGGTGACATGCCTTCCTCCATTTGGGCAGCTTGATGTAGGTGTCCTGGGGAAGGTCTGGGATGCCGGCAGGAATAATGAAGCTTCCCTCGTAGAAGGTTGGCAGGGAGAGAGCAGGAGGCTTAGGTGGGTCTGTTGGTTTCGTTTCACCGAGAAGACCCCGATTGATCGCTTCATCGATGTTCAGGCTGTACATGGTCCAGCCAGTGAGTGTATCCTTCCCTAGAGTCAGGTTGGACACCAGGCCCTGCGCAGTACAAAAAAAACAGACGGGAGGAGCTGAGAATTCACACCGACATCCCAGTTTTGGAAACTGTTCAGAAGTTTTACTTCACAGAAAGTGTGAAATTGAAATACAAAACAGAATTTTGTTGCAGTTAAATCTAATATTAAGTTTTTAAGGCTTGTAAAACCTGCAAAATGAAATCAAGTAAAGCGTTGTGACATTTATACGTTAAAGCACACATAGTATCTTGAAAATGTAGCTGGAAATAAACCTTAAAGTCGTTAATGTTTTTTCCGTAGTTGATTCGACCCATATTCTCCACCAGTATGTCCACCTGACTGCCAGCTTTCCCAGTCACATTGACAGTTATGACTTTGTTCCTTTCAAGAATCCCCACAGCCACCTTGAGAAGAAATCAGCATGATTAAATCAGAAATAATCAGAGTTTGGTACATTTTCAACGAGAACTGGGCATCATGTTTAGATTTTTCTATACCAGTATCTATCTATCTTACCATGCTATTTGTTTTACATTTATACAAAAGAAGCTCAAGTTCTCAAGAGGTCAATGTCGTCTTAAAACATGCGACCGTACAAGAACTGCTGCTAATCTAAAATTAGTCGAATGAGACACTATTGACGCATTTCAAATTGTACCAATGCAGTATAGTTTAACTCATCTGGTGATGAGCAAAGACAACAAAAGGCATGAGCGTGGACCTGCGTGTAACTTCTGATAAGAAACAACCAGACTCACCCCATCCACTGACACATACGCTCTATCGTGGACGCCGTTCAGTGGAGATGACAGCGGAGTTGATGTGTTGCAGTTAACAGGCAGAGTGGTCCTGTAGAGCACATAACCAAAGGCCTAAAGGACAAACAGGAAAGAGATACATTTTAGACAAATCAACAGCTAAAAAAGTTAAAATCAGGTGGAAAAAATATTGTTGGTTTTTCACTACATAAAAGAGAAAAGCATTAAAGGATACCTGGTTCAGTTCAATGAAAGTCTGAGGATATTTGCTTTTGATGGGGCCGGAGAAAGACAGTGTTTCTAAAGCATCTGATAGCACCTGGAGCTGTGGTGACACAGGGTTGCTTTTTATAATTTATTCTTCATGTTTTAAATTGTGTGACAAAAAGTCTTTCAATGGAAACAGTGTCCACTGCCTGCTTACCTTTTTCATCCCAACAGTCCCATATGCGTACTTTGGAGTTGTGGGCGGTATTGGTCCCGCAGGTATCTTACGGTACTGTTGTGAAAAAATACACATGTTCTTCCAGATGAAATATACTCCAAAAATACAAATGTAACACTTGTGGATGTGACAATTTAATAATGCCATTCAATTTTACGCAAAACAGCTGAAGGAATACTTCAGAAAAATTAGAGGCCTGCACCAGTGTTCTCACCATTTTGATCACCTCTCTAATTGCAAAGTATTTCTCCGTCAGGTCTCCTGCTTCCGTGAGCGGGGAGTCGTAGTCGTAGCTTGTGGGCTGCGAGGCGTATGGATCGTTTGCACCTGAGATATCGAGAGGCAATCAGAGGCTGTTACACAACTTTGCACATCTTTTCTCTATTAATAAACATAGAAAGGTTTTAACATACTCTTATTTGTATATACTATTGCACTGTGTTTACTGTGATGCACCAATCACCGAGCCAAATTCCTTGTATGTGTAACGTACTTGGCAATAAACAATTCTGATTCTGAAGTTAATCATTCCAAAAACAGAAAAGACCCAAGTGGCTTAGCTGTAAGTCACTTGAAATGATCATGTCTTCTCATCAAACTAGTCTGTTAAAGTGCACTCACCATTCCAGTATCCAAAGGTTGTTCCCCCTATGAACATGTACCTGTGGGGAGAGAAATTAAAGTGAAATGTAGACAACAATAAAAGCACAAATAGATTCAAATAACTCGAAAAGTAACTCGAGTTACATATTATGATGGTGGCCGTAGAGTCACCATGATATTAATATATTTTGTGTAATTGTATATGCCTTCAGTGTGTCATTAAATCTGAAGACTCACATGTTGACATTTGCTCCCAGGGCAAGGATCTCGTTGAGGGACTTTGCCACTATGGCAGACGACACAACAGAGTGACGTGACCCCCAGTGGTCCAGCCAGCCAGTGTACAATTCAGAGTTCACCTGTTCATACAGCAGAAAACCTCATGAGTGCCTGAGAGAAAATGCAGTGTGGTTTTGAAATCACATACTGTTTCGGGGGAAATACTTGCCAAAGGTCCATGAGGTTCAGCGTGTCTCTGTGCAGCAAAGGCAGCGTTTACATTCTCACCTAACAGGATGAAAACGCAAAGATAAGCTGATGGGTAAAAAAAGCTATTTGTGCGACTTCCTCATGACTGCTGATTAATCCAACATATGACATAAAAAGAAGAAAATTATTAAAGTACTGTAAATCCTCATGTAATGCATCTAATCTCAAATTGCTTTTACAATACTGCTACTGCAGTGTCAGACATATTGTCACAGCATCTGGAAGCTGTAGCCCAGTGTTTGACACTTAAGATCAAAAGACTTAACTAAATGTTAAGATGAACAGTCAGTCAATCAATCAAGTTTCTGTGGTCAATGTATCAGTATGTTTCTTTAAGGACAACATATTGTACCACATAGTTTAATTCTTTAAATATTTACAGGCCCTTCTAGGGTTATTAGCAGTAGCCAAGAATGCTGGTATACATTGCATTGAAAACATGTGTATTGTATTTGTCCCTACCAAATAAACATGAAATGAAATGAAATACATAACTGAACCTTTAACCAACAGTCAATGTTTGCTGTAAATTGCATTGCACTGACTAGACTCCCGACACCTACCTGGCCCAAAGTCAACAGTAGCGTAGAGACCTTGTATTGAGCCACATTTGAGGTAGCTGAGCCCAGCTCCATCTGTGGTAAAGAGCACCACCTCCTCACCAAGGTGAGACCGGAACAGCTGAGTCAGGTGGCGCATGTAGTTGTAGTCACAGGCGAAATAACTACCGTATTCATTCTCCACCTACCAGACACAGCCACAGCAGGAGGGAAATGTTATTTTTCTTATGGAATCAAGTTCTGAAATGAAACGTAATGCGCGTAAGACTCACCTGTACAGTGATGATAGGACCACCGTTCTGATAGAGAAAAGGCTTCATCATTGGCAGTAGCTTCCCCATCCACTTATCTACTGCTTTGATGTAATCTGACACAAAGCAAATCATTATAGTGTTGTATGTACTGCTGCATGCAACCATGACATACATACATACATACGTGTGTGTGTGTGTGTATGTATATATATATATATATCAGCATTCATCCTGTTTTTCTTTGATTCTCACCTGGATCTGAGGACCGCAGCACAATGTCTTTCTTCTTGAGAAGCCAGGCAGGGAGCCCCCCCTGGTTGACAGAATAACACAAACGATGGCAAAAGGCTTTTGGTGCAATTTAAATGGCCTACCAACCATAACGGATAACCTCATCTAGTGTAAGTGCAATTTAAAGTGATAACACACTTATAATCTATGTTTTAAATATCAAACACCCTCTGTACACTTTAAGTGACAATAAAAAGTTTACATTGGCTACAACAGATTTCAGTGTTGATTAGCTCTCATACTGGAGAACAAACCTTAAAACATCCCCAAATATATATAAAAACTGAACAATAAACCTATGACCATAAACATAGGTATACTGTACCATCCCTCAGTATAAATCAAAGAGATGACAATGTATTGGGGAAGTATTGTCATCATTTTACTAGTAGAAGTAGAAAGGTATTAGCCGCTTAAAAGATCACGTCTGTACAGTAAGGGTTTCCAGTTAGAAATTGGCAACATTTTTGAGATATTATCGACTAAATATTGGCCTTTGGTTACCGCTTATGAACATATAATTAGTAGGAACAGCAAACAGCAAAACATTCAAACCAAAATATATATTTAGAAGGTTGTCCCGACATCTTTGAGCTGGAAGGAAAATGATACTGCATGTGCAACATACACACGACATATCTACATGTCACACTTTCATTATTAAGCTGACATAAACTGCATAGTACCTTAATTACAGTGGCGGGCCGTGCATTTTATACCTAGGCCTTCACTGTTGTCCTGCAGCTGAAATACCTCCTTATAACCACATGATGGCGCCACAGTTATTATTAATTTCTAAGGCTGTAACTATGTACGTATTAAATGTACATACCGTTCGGCACAAGACTTACAATACGTTTGAATAGTACTAGAGCATTTGGAAAATGCAGAAGCTTATATTCAGGAAAATATAATATTTTCTGCGCTCATGGAGGACAATGGTTGTCAGCTGGTCTGGCTGTGGGACCCACCATCATTCCTTAATGACAAGTCACGGCTCAGAGAGATCTTCTTATGATTTTACTTTATTTACTGTTGGGTAAATGCATCATATGTGAGAAGTTGATCAGATGGTTTGTGTGTATACTCTTTATCTGAAAAGTTATTGGTAACTACAGCTGTCAAATAAATGTAGTTGTGTAAAAAGTACAATATTTTCCTCTGAAATGTGTTGAACTAGAAGTATAAAGTAGCATAAGATGGAAATACTGAAGAGTCTAATGTGTTCTGTATTTCTTTCTTCTTGAATGGTCTCTTAATACCGTCAAAAACTCAAAATGTGTTTACTGACATCCGGCACTCACCATGTCCCACTCTGCACATATGTAGGGTCCAGCACGAAGGATGACCACTAAACCTATGTCTTGGGCCAGTTGAAGGAAATATTCAAGATCCTTGTCTCCACTAAAATCGTACCGGTCCGGAAACTCCTCGTGGTAGCTCCAGGGGATGTACCTTCAACGTGAATAAAGTGTCAATATTATCCAAACACACATACTTATGTTTAATGATGTCGCTTCATTACAGCTGCAACAAACATCATCATCAATCAACCTTTCAATTATTTTCTCAAATAAACAATTTGTCTTTCTTTGTCCGATCAGCAATCCAAATCCCAAAGATATTTAGTTAACAATCATAAAAGTTAGAAATTGTATTCACATTTCTCTAAGGCCAGAGAATTATTGCATTTATTTCAAAGAAAAATATTTTTAACGATTAATCGACATTCAGGATCGATACATAATCATTTTCTGTGGCTACTACACTACAGCACATGTGACTGCTGACAAATTATGCCATTTTGTAGAATGACTGCAGCACAACCACATGCAAACATTAAAAGAGCCAACAGTGATGTGAACTGATTTCTCTGTTGAAACATGGCACAGTCACAACAACAGCCTGTGATTGCAACAACAAACCAAAGTTAGAGTGACGCAGTAAGACAGTGAGACATGAAGTAAACGTACATCTGGATGGCATTCAGCCCTGCCATGTACATCTTGAGCAGCCGGTCCTTCCAGTAGACCCGGGGGATCCGGCTGTAATGGATGCTTCCTGATATGTATCGAAACTCCTCCCCATCTTTCCGAAAGCAGTCCTTCTGGTAATCCACGCTGAATGAACCAGGTGCCCCGAGCTGCAGGTCAACACATCATAATTTAACTCACAATGAGTCAGTTTATATTGTGTTCCATCATGTGATTAAAGTGTAATGTTTTGTATGGTGCAGGGCTAACATCTCACTTTACAGACATAAAAGAAAAACAATGTATTTTTTTTTACTGAGCTGACAAGACAATATGAGCCTGATTTAATCCAACTTTACTGTGAACATGCCTTTAGCCCAAAAATATCAAAAAGTATTAACTCACATTGAGATTCATGTCGTGTGTCTCAGTGTATTAAAAAAAAAACCAATGAATTTGAGACCAAGTCCCAATCCTTTGTTTTGAAATGTTGTGGCAGACAACAGGGTATAAAACCCTTTAAAAAGTCAGAGGTACTTACTGAATGTCCAAACAGCAGCAACAACAGCAGCATGCTTCCGAATCGGAGCAGAGACATGATGAATCCTCACTCGAGCCGTGCTGCCGGTGTACGTGTTGCATTAAATGAATGCAGCTTTTCAAGCAATGTTATTTAGTTGGTCACAGTCAGCTACAGTTCTTACTTCCCTGAGTACATTGTGCTCTTCTGAATGGTGTGGTATCATGAGTTGCGGAAGTAAAATCACGTGACGCTGCATCGTTGTGATGTAAAAACAACAACGTGTTGATCAGTAGGTGGCAGTGTCGCGCTTTTTAATTATGGCGTTTGAGGCGAGATGATGTGTAAAGGCTTTAGCAGAGTTTCTAGTCAATGAGGGAATAGATAAAC